TCGTCTTTCATAATAAAAATTACTTCAATCGGAAGCAATCAATTTCATTAAACATACTTAATACTTTATCTAAAAACATCCTTGATTCGATCATAAGTACTTCAATTCATAATGCATGCATATCTTAAAAGCTTGATTTCATATCAATCACTTGTATAAAATGAATTCATTTAAGAACCATTGATCATCCATGTGGAGTATATACAAATATGATCGAATTATACTACAAAGACACTATAAAGATATTTTGTAGAAGTACAAAATTTAACACTGAAGTCCAAATAATGTGAAAATAAATTGTAGTGTATCCTCAAATGTCTAATCATATAGAAAGTTATTTAGTCTGAAACAAACGATTTAGTCTACTATATTACAAAATCGATGAGGTGTGTGGCAATAGGCAATTTGAACTTATTTCGTAATCAACACTTCTAATTTTCCACATAAAATAGTTCAATATAATATTTTTGTATAATTTGGCAATCATTCTAGTTAGAACTTCCCTATGGCAAATTATTATTCTCTCCATTTAAAAAAAAAATGAACTATTTTGATTTAACACAGAATTTCACAATTCAAAATATTACTATAATTTTGATAAAAGAAAAGTTGATAGTTTCCCTATTAATTTAATAATATTGAGTTCCTCCATACATAAGATTAAACAATATGTACCATTGCTATCAAATACCAATCTTAATTCCAACAAGACAAAACACATCATGTGCCCTATGCCCCATTGTAGTACACTTGACAACTTCCTATTGGTAGTATCTCAATATTACTTGTAGACCACCTCTAACGAGACACAAAAACCCCACTTGGTGAAGACATATCAAATAAAAATGGGACCTCTTAATCCCCAAATAGACACTTCAAGAATACACAATTCTCCCTTGTTTAACTACACAAATTGTTTTATGAGAATTCCATTTCCCTTTCCCCTATAAATTTTTTGTCAATCTCCCTCTAAATTTTTAGTAGATGTTCTTTTTTCTTACATGAAAAATAGAACTAGTCTTCTTCTAAGGAAACATTATAGCATGTTGCTACCTTTAAGGGCACTCAAAAGAGTATGAATTTCCTTTATATCCCATAAATATATTGGCTTTATCAAATTGGTCCCAAGTTCTAGTCTTTGTGGTCATTTCCATTTGATGAAGTACTTCAATTTATTTTTTTTTTGCTTTAATTAATACACTAAAATAGGCACTTGCACTTTAATGTAAGGTTTTTAAACCCAATGCCATTGTTCTAAATTCATTAGTTTGTGACTATTTAACCAAAAGGTAACAATCTCTTCCTATAGCCCCCATTTTCTTTATCACTAGACCGACTTTGTTCAAGAGAAAATTGACTTTCTTCGTTTTTTAATTTTTATATTCTGAAACAGTTTGCAAATTTAATGTGTTATGTGTCGAGTCAACCACAAGAAAATAAAATAGAAAAAAAAGAACCAATATGACAAAGGTGGATCTGTTGATCGGTCATGTCATATAGGCTCGAGTTGGACATCCAATTGCTTCGATTTGAATTATCCGGAGAATGCAATGCCTGATATATATCAAAAAGATGGACAATCAAACCTATTTCTCAATTCACTCAAAGAGGTGAATAGGGTCCCAATAGAGATATGTAAAAAGCAGGTCCGATTACGCGTATTCCTAATCCTAAATGGAATGTAAAACCAAAAGAAACATATACCTAAAGAGAAAGAGAAACATACCAATAGATCAACCATGGGGTTTTGAGAGCCACATACCATAAAACACATATAAGGCTCTATCATTTATGTTACCAAAACAAACTCTAGATATCACATTTACTGTTTTGCAGAAAATGTCATATTGTATTTAACTTGAGTACAAAAAATGTCAACTTTAAAGACCTACTACTCATGTGAAATTGTCAAGCCAAAAATAAGAGGATGGATCCCACCACAAGGTTTTGTTACTAATGGCCAATTCTTGCAATTATTTTATAATTTCCCCTAATTGAGAGGTTCAAACTTTATAGAGTTTATAAGAATAGCCCTATAAAATAAGACCATTATACAATGTGATTAGGAACAACTAGACAAAGGCCAATATTTTCCATATAGAAACCTACAAGAAAATTTGAAGAAAAATTAAATAAAAGGGTGTGTGTGTCCTTAAGAGGACATTTGGTCATGTGCATGACCTCAATTTCTTGACAACACAATGTGATTTGGTATATAATATGGTCATAACTCAAAAGACAAGGCTAATATTTCTTAGCATAATGGCCTTGTGGTGGATCCATAACTAATCAAGGATAGCCTCACAATCAAGTTTCTAAAAGGGAAATCTCAAAACTATTTGATTCTTATATTATTTTATGTTTTTTGTCTTTTTGAATAATTTTCATGTCCTTTGGAATGTGTTAGAGCTGAAATTTTTCACCAATCATTTGTATCTCCTGACATCAACATGTTGAGTATATATGTGTTACTGTTTTGTAACAGAACAAAAAATAATAACATATGAATAGTAAGTCCAAGAGATGAATAGTAAATTAGAATAATTCAGATATTTTTTTTATATTTAATAATTGAGACTCCTTAGGTTGCATCATGTGTCTACTTGGAGAATCGAAAACCACAAAAACCACCTTCTTTTATTAGTATTATTGCTTTTTTTTTTTGAGATGTTAACAAGTGGAAAATATCGGATCAAATTTACATACAATAATAATAAATTCATAGGTATGAGAAAGAATAAAATATGTGCAGATCTTTATTTCTAACTCGTAGAGGTATTTTAAAAAATTATTTGCTCTAGTAACATATATAAATTAGAGATATTAAAAGAAAAATGTACTAAGTAAAGATGATATAACAAATAATAGGAAAAACATAATATAACATTCAGAAAATGAAGCAATAACCAGATAATGTGATAACTGAAGTACAATAAAAATGAGCAACTACAAGAAAATGTTACTACTATTAGTGCTACAAACTACTACCAAGCTTATACCACTTGGAAACGAGAAAACACTCATCTATTTACTAACTTTATATCCTAATTTGCAATTTTTGTACCTTCTATCTAAGATACTGTCCCTCGATAAGTTGAAGTTGCAATATATCCTGTCTAATCACCTTTCCTAGACACTTTTTTAGCTTACCTTGGTCTCTTCTTAAACCACCACTATCAACCTATAACACCTCCTCATTGGGGTTTGTGTGCACCCTCTCTTGACATGTACGAACTATCTCAGTCTCATTTTTCTCTTTTTGTCATCACAGAGGTCACTTCCACCTTGTCTCAGATATCTTTATTTAATTTTATCTTTTCTAGTATATCCACAAATATACCTCAACATCCTTATTTCCTTCACACTCATCTTTTGAACTTAAGAGAAATTAACTGGTTAATACTATGTCTCATACAATAAAGTCGGTCTAATCAGAACTTTCCTTTAAAATTTAGCGGTGCATTTTTCACACGGAACTCTAGAGGAGAACTTCTATTTCATCCACCCTACACTAATACTATGTGGGACATCGTCATTGATCTTTCGATTATCTTGAATTAACGACTAAAATGATTGAAATTGCCTCTCTTAGGAATATTATGTGTATCAAATCTTCACTTCCACCCTACTATCATTATGAGACACATCATAAGTCAAAGACGTCTTTCAATACATATAGTATTAAGGATCGTTTGGTTTGAATTCAAGTTATGATGGGATAAATTATGATGAGATTAGTTATGATGGGATTATTCTTTATTTAGTGTTTGGTTTGTTGTATATATTCAAGCAATAATTTTTAAAAACAATTTATTTATTTACAAATATGCCCTTCATAAATGTAAAAAGTGATGTAACAAAAGGGTTGAAAGAGACATTTTTGTCATTTAATTATTTATCCCCAAAAAAGTCATCCCGCGGTTACTATGCCGCCCAAGGGGAGGGATAACTTATCCCATTACTAATTATTAATTTCGGAATAAATTATTACGGACTCGCCAACCAAACAACAAATTAAGTGATACTATAATTTGATCTCAAGACTATTTGATATTATCTTTCACACCACGTGACTCCTCGGCATCTAAGACGTCTTTATATGATAACAAACTTGGAACACAAACAATATATATCAAAAGTAAAAGCATATTATATGTGGTTTGTTTAATTTGCCTACATTTATATAGGAGGAGATGAGGAATATTGATATAAAGAAAAAAAATATGAAGAGAACAAATTTCAACCCTAAACAAAATTCTCTAACCTTAAAAGGCTGCCTTATGAATGTTATTATAAAGTGAAAAGAAAAAGATTCTCAATTCATAAAAGTTGAAAGCATTTTTCGTCCAATAAAAGGATTAGTGTTCTTTCAAGAATCAATTATGATAAATATTTTCCCTTTCTTTTTTTTTTTAAAAAAATAATCTAGTAATAAAAAGTTACACGGCAAATGTTTGATAGAATTTTTAAATTATTTATCATCGAAAAATATCCTCTAGGTTATGACATAAATTTAGAGATACGCCTTAACTAAATTATAAAAGTCCTCTTATCAGTGCATTTTTCTGGTAAATTTATACACCTTTTGACTTACTTGACATATTCTGTGACTCCACATAATTGAGGCGCGTGAGAGATGTTTGGATGTTGTTAAATAAAGAGATATTTTCCATTAATTAGTTAGTTGTATCTTGTTAGTTATATTGTTAGAAAGGTAGTTAGAGTTTGTTAAAAGTTGTTAATGAAGTGTATAAATACAGTATGTACAGGTTGTTGAATACAAGTTGGAAATACACAAACATTATATTTCCTCTCCTCTCTCTTCTCTTCTCTTCTCTTCTCTCATCTTGAAGGTCCTCACATGGTGAAGATCAAGGATCTTAACATGGTATCAGAGCTTGAGTAATCGATCTCATATTCCTTCGATCTTCTTAGTTTCTGGTTCACGTTTCATCTCATTTCTTTACTGTTTCTGTTTTCTCCTGTTCGACATCTCAACAATGGTGAATGCTAGTTCACCTGCAGATCTGCAAATTGGAGCTGAAGTCGTACCCACTTTGGTAACAATCGATCAACTCCATCCTTTGTTTCTTCAGCCCAATGATACACCAGATAGTTCCCTAATTTCGATTAAACTAACAGGCCCTGAGAATTATGCATTATGGAGTAGTTCAATGCGAATTAGTCTGTTAGGTAAAAGCAAGTTAGGATTTGTGGATGGTCGATATCCTAAAGAGAAATTTGATGCTTCTCTTCATGATTTGTGGGAGAAATGTAATGTCATAGTCCTTTCATGGATTATGAATTTTGTATGTACTGAATTACTTAGTGGGATTGTATATGCTACAAGTGCATATAAGGTGTGGACTGATCTACAAGAACGATTTGACAAGGTTAATGGATCTCGAGTCTTCTTCCTTCATTCACAAATTTCTACGCTTAACCAAGGAATTTCTTTTGTTTCAACCTATTTCTCAAAACTAAGAGAACTATGGGCAGAATTTGATGCATTGATGCCATGTCCTGGATGTAATTGTGTTGAGTCTAGGAAATATGTGGAACACTTTGAGTATCAACGCCTTCTTCAATTTGTGATGGGTTTAAATGAGTCTTACTCACAGTCTATAAATCATATCATGATGATGCTTCTTACTCCATCGATTAATAAGGCATATGCCATGATCATTTCTGAGGAAAGTAGAAGATCTCTGGGTTCTTCTTCTTCCTCTTACAGCTCTGAAATTGCTGAGGGGACAGCTTTGTTTAGTGGTAAAAGCAACTCGAGTGTACGCACTAACTATCAGGGGAATAATTCCTTTTACAAGGGCAGAAGCAGAAGGAGTGATCTCTACTGTGATCAGTATCATCTCACAGGTCACACAAAAGCAATGTGTTACAAGTTAATTGGATATCCTCCAGATTATAAATTCAAGAAGAAAACAGGATCATATATCAAAGAAAATGAAACTAGTAAGGGCAATCCTAATCCTAGTGATATTGGAAATCAGTTAGGGGGTCAATCTGCCAATTTTGCAGGATCTTCTCACATGTCTAAAGGTTCTACTAATGCATTTGGTGCTATTCCTCAATTTACTAAACAACAATACAAACAGATCTTAACCATGCTTGATTCAGAAAAATCTGAAGCTGATCATGTAGCCTTGACAGCAGGTATGATCCCTCATACTACTATCATTTCAGATGATGTTAAGTGGATAGTCGATTCTGATGTTTCTAGTCATATAGTTATTTATGTTGAGCTGTTATCCCACACTACAACAGTAAACAAGAGTGGTCTAGGCAAAGTTCATTTGCCTACTGGTAATGTAGTCAATGTAACTCACACAGGATCATCCTGTCTCTTTCCTGGTCAAGAGATAACCAATGTCATGCATATTCCTGAGTTCAAATACAATTTGTTGTCTGTTTCTCAACTGACAAAGGAGCTTCAGTGTGCTGTATTATTCTATCCTGATTTTTGTATTCTTCAGGATCTCTCAAGTGGCAAGGTGAAGGGGATTGGTAAGGAAGAAAATGGCTTGTATGTGTTTCAATCAGGTCATAAGAAAGCATTTACAGCAAATGTTGCTGCTGCAGCTACTAATGCATGTTCTTCATCACTTAGAATGTCTCTCTACAGATTCTGATAGCTATAGCATGAGTATGAATCTTTGGCACAAGAGGTTGGGTCACACCTCTTCTGTCACTATAAGGAAGCTGTTTGGTCATAATTCTACACATTGGGACAAATGTATCAAGAGTTGTAATGTGTGTCCTTTAGCAAAACAAACTAGACTGTCTTTTCCATTAAGCACTACTACTTCTGAGTATTGCTTTCAGTTAGTTCATGGTGATGTTTGGGGTCCTTATAGAGTTCCTACTCATAATGGAAAAAAATACTTTCTTACACTTGTTGATGACTATTCTCGATATACTTGGTTGTTTCTACTACCTTTTAAAGCTTATGTTGTTGTTGTGCTTAAGGAATTTCTGCTTATGGTTCAGACTGTTTATTCTTCTGTAGTGAAGTGTCTTAGGACTGATAATGGGTGTGAGTTCTTTAACTCACAAATGAATGGATTGCTAAAGTCTTTTGGGACTGTACATCAAAGTTCTTGCTCTTACACTCCACAACAAAATGGAGTGGTAGAGAGGAAACATAGACACATTTTAGAAGTAGCAAGAGCTATTAGATTTCAGGCTGGTGTACCATTGAAATTTTGGGGTTATTGTGTGATCACTGCTGTATACATCATTAATAGACTGCCTTCTGCAATTATTCAAGATAAATCTCCTTTTGAGAGACTTCATAGACACTCACCTTCTCTAGCTCACATGAAAGTATTTGGTTGTTTGGGGTATGTAACTCAGGTAAGAAAGGTGGACAAATTTTCTCCAAGAGCTATTCCTGCAGCATTTCTTGGTTACTCAGTGTCAAAAAAGGGCTATACTATGTATGATTTTGAGTCCAAAGTATTTTTGACAAGTAAGATGTCTTGTTTCAGGAAGATGTTTTCCCTTTCAAGACAACTTCCACTTCTTCTTCTCATTTGTTTTCCTTGAAGGAAGATGAACTGCAGTCATCCTATATAGAGAATAATGCTCCATCATTCAATATTCCTGCTCCTGCTCCTTCCTCTTCTGTTCCCTCTATGGATAGTTCTTCAATGGGTGATGCTTCTGTTTCTGAAACTTCAACACTACAATCTTCAACAGTTCCTGTTACTAGAAAGTCTTCCAGGACTACTAAGCCTCCCATTTGGATGCATGACTATGTCTCCACAAGCAAAGGAAGTGCAAATTGTTGTTATCCAGTATCTGATGTGGTTAGTTATGATCACTTATCACCTGTGTGTAGAGCTGCTTTGGCATCTGATTCTGTCATCAAAGAACCTACTTCTTATACTGAGGCTATTAAAGATCCAAATTGGGTGGCTGCTATGCAATCTGAAATTCAAGCATTACAAGATAATCACACTTGGAGTTTAGTTGAACTACCAGCTGGAAAGAAACCTATTGGGTGTAAATGGGTGTTCAAAGTTAAATACACATCTTCTGGGGCTGTGGAAAGGTACAAGGCTCGACTTGTAGCTAAAGGTTATAGCCAACAAGAGGGGTTAGATTACACTAAGACCTTCTCTCCAGTTGCTAAGATGATCACTTTCAGGTCAGTTGTGGCTGTGGCAGCAGCTAAACATTGGTCTATTTTTCAGATGGATGTTCATAATGCTTTTCTTCAAGGGGATTTAGTGGAGGAAGTGTATTTGGAGGTTCCCTCTGGTTTTGCTAGCCAGGAGGGGAAGCATGTTGTCTGCAAATTACATAAGTCTCTTTATGGACTCAAACAGGCACCTAGGCAATGGAACAAGAAACTCACTGATGCATTGATACAACTTGGCTTCTCACAAAGTCATTTT